GGCCTCAGAGCTCATCCCTCTGGACAGCAGCCTCAACCTCTGGACTGCCTCCCCAAACCCCTTACTATATTCCTGGAGCTTCTTATCATCTTGCAGAACTCGGCCCTGGTAGATGAGCCGCTGTTTCTCAGATGGGATACTGACAGAGGCAGCAATGTGCTCCTTGAACTCTTTTACATTCATCTGCAAGGAGAAAAGATGTACGTAAGAATCAGAGAATGGAGAAAAAGGAAGAACAGAAGAGAGACAACTAACTTGTGGACATGAGCAGTAAAACCATCACAGAATCACTACCTATTTTTGACTGTGAGACTGTTACTGTGTAAACCCCTACACTGAGACAACACCTGCCAAAATACAGACAACACACTTAACAAATAATAGCTTAATAGGTCCAGAAAAAATAACATGGACAAAAAACAAAAAAGCCAACTGGACAGTTCCTTCTTTCCTTCTCTTCCTGGCTCTCAAGGAAATATATGTCTAGAGATACCAGTAATACCTTCTTAAACACAAAATGATACTACCAGTTTATTTACCACAGACAACCCTATACTCTCCAAGATAAAAACAATGGCAAAGATGATGGGGTAGGGAATCAGGTTAAGGAAGGAAGACTAACCAAGAAGGTGGTAAGAAAGTAGCAAAAAAGAGAAACATTTTTCCTAACAGGACAACTGACTTTTGGGAAGTACCAGAATGTTTATATACATCTAATCACAAAAGTCTATTTGAGGGGGGAGGGGGCGGGTATATACATATATAAAGAGTGAGAAGTACACCATCTGGGGGATGGTCATGCTGGAGACTCAAGACTTGTGGGTGGAGGGGGGGAATGGGCATTTATTGAAACCTGGAAATCTGTACCTCCATAATATGCCGGAAAAAAAAAAAAGTCTATTTGACTTTCTTAAATACACATAATACTATCTTTTAGAAAACCATAGACCAACCCACACACAATTTTGTCTCCAAGTATAACAGGAGTAAAGACATAGGTAGCTGTGGTCAATGAATTAAGTTCCAGAAATTCAAACTCTGCCACAGATACTAATAATTCCACTCAACAGTTTATTAAGGCTCTATCTTTTTTGTTTTTCTTTTTTTAATTTAATAATTTTATATATTTTTTTTCTTTTTTGACATTAGGTTTCCACTTCTCTGTGAAGAGCTCTAATCTTCATTATGGATTCTGATTCCAACCTTTAAAAACATAGTGTATGGCCGGGCGCGGTGGCTCACGCCTGTAATCCTAGCACTCTGGGAGGCCGAGGCGGGCGGATTGCTCGAGGTCAGGAGTTCGAAACCAGCCTGAGCAAGAGCGAGACCCCGTCTCTACTATAAATAGAAAGAAATTAATTGGCCAACTAATATATATAGAGAGGCTGAGGCAGGAGGATTGCCTGAGCCCAGGAGATTGAGGTTGCTGTGAGCTAGGCTGATGCCACGGCACTCACTCTAGCCTGGGCAACAAAAGCGAGACTCTGTCTCAAAAAACAAACAAACAAACAAACAAAAAAACATAGTATAGAGGCCGGGCGCGGTGGCTCACGCCTGTAATCCTAGCATTCTGGGAGGCCGAGGTGGGCGGATTGCTCGAGGTCAGGAGTTTGAAACCAGCCTGAGCAAGATCGAGACTCCGTCTCTACTATAAATAGAAAGAAATTAATTGGCCAACTAACATATATAGAAAAAATAAGAGTCAGTCGGACCTGGAGACAAGTCAGTTGCCCTTCGCCACAGAACTGACCTGAAGCTTCTGTAACAGGAGGACATTGAAAATAAGATGAGACCCAGCCACATAAGGTAGGGGGGTGGACAAAAAAAAAATAAAAATAAAAAAATAAGCCAGGCATGGTGGCGCATGCCTGTAGTCCCAGCTACTCGGGAATCCGAGGCAGCAGGATTGCTTAAACTCAGGAGTTTGAGGTTGGTGTGAGCTAGGCTGATGCCACCGCACTCACTGTAGCCTGGGCAACAAAGCGAGACTCTGTCTCCAAAAAATAAAAATAAAAAACCACAGTATAGACCTGACCAATTTCTATTTATAAGACACACTTGTTTGGGGTCCCTATGTCATTTCCCTTCTCAAAGGCAGGAGCTATGTCTGTCCCTTTGGGCTGAGGTCCACCCATGATGATGACACACAGATTCCTCCTTCCTCTGTATTTCTCTGGACAGTCAGCTCTCTCAAGGTGAAGGAAGGCAGAACAAAATCGGCCTCACTCAACAGAAACCATACCCTCTCACTCAACAAAAACATCAGAAAATGTTCTTTCTAGATTTGAACAAAGGAATCAGTGAAAAGAAAACTTGAGGACCAGAAAATCAGGCTCATTCCTCAGGCTAAGGGGCCTACAAGAAGTGTCTTCAAGAAGTATTGGTGTCTCACCTGGGCCCCCACAATAAAGGTCCGAGTTTGAGAGTCCAGGGTCTTCACCAGCACCTCCAAGCTATCAGGCTCCTCCACAGCGGTACTCGTACTATCATTTGGCTCCATGGCCGACAGCTCTCTAAGGAAGAACGAAAGGAGGGTGGCTCGCTGTCGCCTAGAGCAGATTTGGTATACCCGGAAGCCTCCTTGGCATGAATCCCCGCCTCCATACCTAAAAAGTTTCTCCCGCACAGGCACACACACTCACACCCGCCCCCATCCCCCTTCTGATTCCGGGGCACAGGGAGAGAAATACAAAGGGCAGGAGATCGACGGCACAGGGAGCTGGAGGACGGGAGGTGGGAGGGGCTCCCCGACGCCAATCACAATAACGCAGGGCCAGTTGGGTTAGGAAGCAGGGACGGAAGCACGAGACCAGAGACCAGTGTCATCACTGGTCATGATAGGACAAGGGTCGAGGTCGGCAAATACTGGGACAACACGAGAAGTGGTTGCGCCAGACTGTAGAAAGCGTGGTTTCGCGCACGCGCGCCACGCCCATCAAACCCGCCTAAATCACTACAAACCCAAGACGACACTCACGGGGGAGGGGGCCCGACCGGCTATCTGACTGCCTCCCTCTTCCGCCTTCCTACGGTGTTTCAATAAAGCGGCGTGACCAACACACAACCAAACACACACACCCCACCACCACCACTCCGCGGCTCCGCCCCCACTTCCCCGCGGTACCGTCACTTCCGGTCTCCCCCCCCACCTGCCACCGACGGCCACTTCCGTTTTCCCGATAGTATTTGGGGATCTCGAGGCGGTACTTCCGGCCCCCCAGGTCCCCTAGCTTAACGTTTGTGGGGCACGACGAGAAAATCCGCAGCCCCAAACAGTGAGTTCCTGGGGGCGAGACGGGCCGGGGCCGGCCTAGATGGGAGGTAGCCGAGCACCCCGAGGAGCCGCTGCCGCCGTCGCCCGGGGGACCGTACTGCGCCTGCGTGCGTAGCACTACGCATGCGTGCACACTTAAGCACGCCCCACCCGCTCTGGCGACGTTCACTTTTCCTGTGCGCGCGCTTGAGCGATGGGAGGTTGAGGCGGCCGCTATAAATGCCTGAAAAAAAATTACCGGGTGGAACTCTACGACTACCTCGAAAAAGACTATGGACGATTGTATGAACTTGGAAGTTTGGGGACTTGGCATTATGGCTCGTTAATCTATGTTAAAGTCTTGGCAGGCCGAGAATTTCAGGCGGCGCTGTCCTAGCCACCTAAAACTCTGTCTTTCACTGTCGCCCTAGCTGCGCCCTTCTTTCGGCGCCTCCGGAAGTCAGCCTTTCCCATGGGCGGTTGGGGCCTATGGTTGGTGGCCCGGGAGCTATTTTGATTTTGGCCGCGTAGTTGCGCCAAAACCGGCTTCTACCAAGTGGGCGTCTTGCGGACTGTGGACGTCATGTTAGTCACCAGCAGTGTGCGGCTGAGGGGACATGCCACTACCTTTCAAACTTTCGTCAAGAAAGGGGGCGCCTTCCAGTTTGGAACTTGGGAGCAAATAGGAGTCCCAGCGGAACGAAAGACAAGACCCTGACGCTAGGGAATTAAAGAGCTGGCCAAGGTGCTTCCGCAGGCCAGGGGTGGGAGAATGACCGTTTTTCTGCCCTCTTCCAAATGTCCCCCCTTCTCCTCCCGACCCCGGCCCAATGCCCTTGGTCAAGGGTCTCGGCCCCGCGGCGCTGCCTGGGTGCCCAGCCTTTCTGACACTCATAGTTCATACCAGGTCCCTGTGCTGTTTCGGTTAAGAGTTCTAAGCAGTTGTTTAGTGAACTCTTAGTTTATGTCAGCCAATATACTAAGAGTTTTATGTATTGTCTTATTTTAAAAAGCCTAGCAACATCTGAGATAGGTATTAACATTCATTTTATAAGTGAGTGCACTTAGGTGAATGAAAAGTGGCAGAACCGACAAATCCAGGTCTACTAGACTTTGGATCGAACATTTCTATTTTACTACCCCCAATAAATTGTTGTTGCATTTTAGTTTTTTGTTATAAAAACTTTCAAACATTACGCCAAAATAGAATAGTATAATGAACTCTCATATACCCATCATCCAAATTTTGTTTTGGTTTTTTAGCTAAATTGCAAGCCTTACCCCTCAGGACAGATTGTGTGTGTGTGTGTGTGTGTGTGTGTGTGTGTGTGGCAGTCCATGGGTTATAAATAATCTATCAAGGAAGCCCCACCTCTCACTGCATTAACTGCTTCAGCCACTTAGCACTATCAGATGACTGCCTTCACAATTCTTTTTTTTTTTTTTTTTTTTTGAGACAGAGTCTCACTTTGTTGCCCAGGCTAGAGTGAGCGCCCTGGCGTCAGCCTAGCTCACAGCAACCTCAAACTCCTGGGCTCAAGTGATCCTACTGCCTCAGCCTCCCGAGTAGCTGGGACTACAGGCATGCGCCACTATGCCCGGCTAATTTTTTCTATATATATTAGTTGTCCAATTAATTTATTTCTATTTCTGGTAGGACCGAGTCTTGCTCTAGCTCAGGCTGGTTTCGAACTCCTAACCTCAAGCAATCCGCCCGCCTCGGCCTCCCAGAGTGCTAGGATTACGGTCGTGAGCCACCGCACCTGGCCTGCCTCCACAATTCTTACCACTTATTATTTGACAAATTTCACCCACCAGAAACAAATTAGTGCTTTGCAAACATTAATTATAGTGAATATTTACTTTGGACTTAACCATGTGCAGTCTTTGCTAAGGGCTTTATGTGCATTATCTTTAATTCTTATGAGATTGATGATTTACCCATTTTACAGATGAGATGAAAAAACAAAGTTCTCCCATGTAATAAGTAGTAGGGTTTGGACTCACTCTGCCTGACACCAAGGTCTATCCTTTCTAGCCACTAGATTATGTAGCCTCTTGTAAAAAATGTTGAGTGGATGAACTCACTTATGTCAGTGAACTTTGTCAGGATGTGTACATACTGCTTTCCCAATTTTAACATAAACTTCAGAGGGCAGTCCATCATGCTTCAGCACCTGGATCATTGTTCCAAAGTGCTTTTCAGGCTTTTTTTCAATGATTTTTTTACCCAGCTAGTTTTCCCCACACTGACTTCTTCAAGGCCAGGGGCTGTGTCTTACTCATGTTTTATGCCCTCGGGGATTAGCCAGTACCTGACAAACATCTGAGACTTAAAACAGTTTGCTAAGTGAATGAATGAATGACCTAATCATGCTACCTCTCTTCAGTACTGCACAACACAGCACATATCCAGCTCAGATTTAGGTTGAAAGACCACAGGCTTCTACCTGGAGGGCTCAGCTCTCCTAGTAACTCCTGAGAGACCCTGAACATGCCAGGATGGGTATACTGTGGAGTGGTTGCATCCAAAAGAGGGGGAGGAAATCCCAAACACTAATCCAGGTTTGAGTCGGAAAACAAGGTTGAAGTTATTCATTAGCAGGTGAAAGGGTCAAGGGTCGAGGCAAGGGAGCTGGAAGCAGAGTGGACTGAGCAGCTGGTAGGGGAGACAGTAGTTAAGGCACCAGTCACCCCACATAGAGCACTAGCTCCCTCCTGCCTGAAGATGTTTGACCGGATTTGGGCAGCTCTGCTCTACCTGTATGGTATTCTCCTTAATTCTATCTACCAGTGCCCTGAGCACACGCAACTGACAACTCTAGGAGTGGATGGGAAGGAGGTATGGACTGAAAATGGGGAAAGCCTACGGTGGAGGCTCTGAGGGATTTGGGTGGATGGCCTCGGATGACCAGAAGCCATGTTGGAAAAGGAAGGGAGGAAGAGGATGTGAGTGTTGTGATGATGAAAGCAAGAATAAAAAAGTATTAGTACAGTGGCCATTAATGTGGAAACATGGTAGAATTAGGGGATGGGGTGGTGACTCAGGTTGATTGGAGAGGGGCAATGAGGAAAAGTCATTTCATGACTCCTTGTCATAGATCCAACCCCCAGTTGGAAAGAGGAAGGTAGCCAAAATCCGTGCTCTTAAGTGTTTCTTTCCTGACTGAAGAGGTTGGATAGATCTTGTGAGACCCACCCTCTTTTGCTCCCTTCATTGTCTCTCCAGTTCCCAGAGCCCCACCTGGGCCAGTGGTACTTTATCGCAGGGGCAGCTCCCACCAAGGAGGAGTTGGCGACTTTTGACCCTGTGGACAACATTGTCTTCAACATGGCTGCTGGCTCTGCCCCGATGCAGCTCCAGCTTCACGCTACCATCCGCATGTGAGTGGTGAGGCAGAAGCACAAGTGGGTGCAGTCTCTGCCCAAAGTGTGAGGACTCACCCACCAAGAGCTGGGCTCTCAGCTAGTATATCCACTATTCTTGGCCCACTGAATTCAATAGCTCCATTAATTGCCCTCTGGAGAGAGTTGGGCCTAACTGTCCTTAGGTAGCTTGAAACACAAAGGTAACTGGGCTTCAAGAAGGAATAATGGAATAAATAGAGGGCGGTACAGTGTGGTTGGAGTGACACTTGGTCTTTCCTCCTTGCCACCACCACCTCTGTAGGAAAAATGGGCACTGTGTGCCCCGGAAATGGATCTACCACATGACTGAAGGAAGCACAAATCTCAGAACTGAAGGTTGGTTCTCCCCAGCCCTCACCCTCCTTAAGTCCTCTGAACTTGTTTCATATCTGTCCTCACACTTCCCCCCACCTGCCCTGACAGGCCGCCCTGACATGAAGACTGAGCTCTACACCAGCTCATGCCCTGGTGGAATCATGCTGAAAGAGATGGGCCAGGGTTACCAGCGCTTTCTCCTCTACAGTGAGTGAGGATGTGAGGCAGGAAGGGTGGGAGGGAAGCAAGAGGGGGCAGGGGAGCTCCTCACTCTGGGCCCTAGGACATCCCAGGAAGAGGTAGGTACTTCCATGAGCTCCTCACCAGGGGCTTTGACTGGCCTGGCCCCATGCTGCCCTTCCAGATCGCTCACCACACCCTCCGGAGAAGTGTGTGGAGGAATTCCAGTCCTTGACTTCCTGCTTAGACTCCAAAGCCTTTCTACTGACTCCCAGGAATCAAGGTGAGGGGTTAAAATCTCATAGAAAAGGACTGGGACTCACCAAGTCTTCTGGGGGTGTTGGATGAAAGAGGCTCATGTGATGTCACTAGAGGGCATGGCCAAAGGCTGACATCATCAGAGTGGCTATGTTAACACCTCCATTTGTCACAGGTTGTGATGACACTAGAGGGATGTGGCTAAGAGCTGTGATGTCACCTTAGGGAGCCAGGATAGGCTCTGGGTTACTCAAAAAAGAGGTTTCTGGCCGGGCGTGGTGGCTCACACCTGTAGTCTTAGCACTCTGGGAGGCCGAGGTGGGAGGATCACTCAAGGTCAGGAGTTCAAAACCAGCCTGAGCAAGAGCAAGACCCCAGCTCTACTAAAAATAGAAATTAATTGACTAATAAAAAATATATAGAAAAAATCAGCCAGGCATGGTGGCGCATGCCTGTAGTCCCAGATACTCGGGAGGCTGAGGCAGAAGGATCACCTGAGCCCAGGAGTCTGAGGTTGCTGTGAGCTAGGCTGACGCCATGGCACTCTAGCCCAGGCAATACAGTGAGACTCTGTCACAAAAAAATAAAAAGAGGTTTCTGAGTTTATAGTGGATAAACAGGGCAGAGGGGCAGACATGGAGGGGAAAAGGCCTCAGAGACTCCTTCTTTGACACAGGGGAATGAAGGAACTCATTCTCCCCCACCCCATTACCACCAACCTTGCTTTTCTGCCCTCCTTTCTGTCCTCTTCTTTTCTCCCTCCTCCCATCACAGAGGCCTGTGAGCTGTCCAGTATCTGATCTGTAACTTCACCTACATCCCCAGATGGTATGGTGGGAGCTGAATTGTTGGGGGGAGGAGAAGCTGGAGACTCCTGACTCCTCTTCAAGAATAATAAAGATGATTTTTCAATCTTCATCTCATTCTGGAGTTTGTCTCCAGACATCAATCCCATTCCCTCCATTTCAAGATCCACTTGGACCCTGTACCACCAAAACTGCCAACTGGATGGCGTCAGGAAGGACACTGAGTGGCAGTCACTCACTTTATAACGATATATTTAGGATTTGGTATGACACAGTTGTTTATTGCTGAGTGAGCAAACCCCTAGCCCCTGAGTGGGGACTATAGGCTCCAGTGCTTCCCCCACACTGCTTGTCTGAGCTGCCAACCCTTCTGAGCTGGCCCTCCTGCCAGTACTGCCTGCACCATCCCCACTCCCTCTGGCTCCCATGAGCACCAGATACTTCCTGCAAGCTCCCTGTCACCTCCCTGTGGCCCCCATCCAGACCTGCTAATCCACTTGCCAACAACCCCACTCTTCCCTAGATGGCTCAGGTCCCAAGATCCAAGGGATCCCTTCGGTCGGGTCTCCCAATGACCCTCTTACCACAGAAGACTGTTTATCTGCCTCCGTTCTCCTCCACCCCTAGGGAGTTTTGAAAGTTAGAGGGGACCCTTTGGTCTTTATTCTCTACCACCATACTATTTTGTTGTTGGTGTTACTGTTTTTGGCTTTTAAAAAGTAGACATGGAAAAAAACAACTTGAGGTGAGAGAAATGTAAAAGCAAAAAGTAATAACAGCTGGTGAATCCAAGGACGATGCCCCAAGGATGTCCATAAACACAGACACCTAGAATAGCTCTGTTCTCCTGTATATAAAGGGAGGCCCTGTGCCCTCATATTCTGGGGTTTCTTCCCCATCCCTGAGGTCCCTGTGCTTACAATCTGGGTCATGCCCCACACTCTCCCCCTAAAGGCCACGCTGTCTTCACCCTTTTCCCCTACCTGACCCCACCCCACGGTCACAGCTCCTTTCCTGGGTCTCCCCTCTGCTCCTCACCCTCCCTTTCCAACCCCTCCTTCTGCCAGTCAGTGGCCTCCCCATCCTTACTGGGCTCCCGGAGGCTGACAGCCAGCACCAGGGCCTGTAGGAGGCCAAAGAGGCAGGCAAAGTGCAGGGGGTGGGCAGTAAGCAGGCTCAGCACGGCATGGAGCCCATGTAAGGCAGCCAGAAAGGAGAGAAGCCCGTGCAGCCAGAGGCCCAGTGGTCCTCGCAGGCCCAGTGCGTCCAAGGCTGCCCACAGCGGTCGTGAGCACAGCGCCAATAGGGCTGAAGCCAGCAGCTCCAGCAGATGCAGAGTCAGGTTGGTGGAGATCTGCAGACACTCCTCTGGGCCCCCCAAGTACTGTGGGGGAGCCCCTGGTTCCCCCCGCAGCCAACCCAGCAGCTTCTGACGACGGCCAGGTTTCTCCACTGGGACTTCAGGCTCAGGGGCACTCAGTCCCCTACCAGGAGACACCCCAGGTCTCCTGGTGCCACCTGAATCCACATGATCCCATCCGAGTTTGGGAATGGCTCCTCCAGCCTCCAGTCTCCCAGACTCTTCAGTGCTAGAGACAGCCTTGTCCCACTTGAGGGAATCCATTCTTTTGCTCCCCAGTTGCTCAACTTGAGGCTCCCTGTGTGGTTCTGAAGCAGCCCCAGAGCTCCTCAGTACCTCTGAGTCCTTAGGCTTGGGAGGCCTCACATCTCCCATGGTTTCTGGGGCACTATCCCAGTCACTCCCTGAATTCTCAGGGGAGCTGTCCACCCATCTGGGTTCTGGGCCAGGCGGGTCAGGCCTTATTGGTTTCCGGTAGCCCCAGGGGCGAGGTAGCCAGCCACCAAGCTGTCGCAGGAACATGACTGGGGAGTGTAACAAGCGCCCAAATACTGGGGCCGCTTCCCAGCACTGCTTAGACTCTCAAGAGTCTCCTCAGAAGCCAGTCTTTTCCAGCTCAGAATAGGTATCTGCTTGGTGATGCCGTCCTATTCTGAATTCAGAAGTGGCTCCTCACTTCCCTAAATGGCTGTGCAGTCTCCAGTGTGGCAAGTGGCTTGTTTGCTTTTCAGCTTCGGGATAAAGAAAGGAGGCACACCCAAATTCAGTCACCATTCCCCCCCCCACACACACACAACATTCCAAGAGTCTCAGATCTGACAAGGCCTGGGTCACCCCCACAGTGTCCTCTCTGTTTCCGGATTTCCTTCCCAGCAGGCAACACCCCACGTTTCACTCACCGAGGCCACGCCTCGAGATGCCAGATGCCCCAGAAACTGGGGAGGCGGTGCTCCATCCGAGGAAGGCAGGAAGGTGGCGCCGGGTCCTGGGTGCTCCTGGATATGGGGAGTCTTAAACAGCTGCCCCGAGGGAGTTCAAGAAATAGGAATTCTCTTTGTTGGGAGGTGGTAGGGAGGTGTCCAGCAAATTCCAGCCAGCAGCGTTCGTCTCTTGATGTAGGGAGCTATGATTCCTACGAAGTGGCCTGACCGGCCCAAGAGCACGCAGCATAGAGTGAGGCCTCCGCAAGGTCAGAGCTGAAGGTCCTCGGAAAGCCCGAGCCCGAGGCAAAGCACGGGCCTACCAGGGGACCCAGGCGTCCAGGCGCTGTGTGCGGGGGCCCTTCCCCGGCCCAGCGGTGGGGCCGCGGCCTTGGGGAGCCACCGGAGCGGCGGAGCCCGGAGCCCGGAAGCAGCTGCACCGGGACGGGAGGGACCGGCGGGGCGGAGCCGCAGCTCGCTGGGCGGACCCTGCGGATCGACCGCCCCCGTCCTCCGGCGCTGTCAGCGCGCGCCGCACCGCAGGCGACATCCGGACGGCGAGGACCTGAACACAAGCCCAGCTCCGCATTTTCGCCGCCCAGAGGTCCCCGGGCCTCTAGTCCCCCCTAAGCTCGCCCGCCCTCCACAGCTCCAGGACCTTGGATTCTTCTCCACATCCCTCATCACTCCATTTTGCACCCGTGATTTCATGAAAGGCTTTTCCAGAAAGGAAAATGATGAGGGGAGTCTTGCGACTAGAGCAGCCCTTCCGTGCGGATTACTGGATTTCACAGCAGTGAGCTCTCCATGTGCTTAGCACCGGAGGGGGGTAGGGACGGTGGGGAAGTGTGGGAAAGAAAAGCGTAGACAAATAGGTGAAATGAACCTTGACTTAAAGTTTATATTTGGGAGGCCAGAGTTCTGGTCCCAGCTCAACTAACAGCGTGTAGGCTGAATAATCTTAGGCCCTCCTGCCACACTGACTTCTTTCAGCAAGACTCTACCCACTCGTACCATTCCTGAGGGCCTTCCCTGACTTCCTCTTACATTTGATCACATAACTGTGTCCCTCTCCAGCTGTGAGCTCCCTGAGGGCTGGGAATGCCTTTTATTGGTATTCTTAGCACATAGTATATAAACTTACATTTGTGAAATCAGTGACTGAATTGCTGGAGCGATGAGGGGACTCTTTCTGGGAGAGGTGAGACTTGCATGGAGCTGGGCGATTCCTGGTTGGGGGAGGGGGTTGAAAGAACAAGCGGGGAACTCCCAGCAGGCGGTGGGACCTGAAAGTCAACCCAGACTGGCAGGGAGAAGATCTTATCATGCCACCTGGAAAGGCTGCCTCTTCTGGCTCAGGTGGTACCTGAATGTGGCACCCAGATGTCTGTTTGGTTTCTTCAAAACAGCTTCCAGAAAAGCGAATAAACCACAAAAGAGAGAGAAGGGTGATTTATTTTTCAACTGTCAGCCCACACCCCAGAACAAAACCTACTGACCAGAACATGAGGGTCTGCACGTGGGCAGATCCCAGGAAGAAGTCAGAGAACCCTAGTTCAGACTTCAGCAGCAAACCAGGGTCAGATTTCACCAAGGTCAGAACTCAAGGTTCATGTACATCCTCAGACCCCGCTCCCAAGCCCTGTCCTTTTCCTCTCGCCTTCTCTCGTCCCTCCGGCTCAGTGTTGCCACTCGAGGGGCTCTCTCCCTTCCAGCCACGGCCTGGGTGTCCCAAGCTGGGAAGTGTGTGACTCGGGGCTGGGGTGCTGATCTGAAGCCTAATCCTTCTTGGTCCCTCTTGAGGACAGTGGGGATGGGGTTGGCACGGCCCTCGCCCCTGGGTCCTAGCCCCATTCCTGGCTCCCAGCCTCCCCTCAGCAGCAGCTTAAAGCCTGGGCTAGAGGTGGGCACCCCAAGTGGAAGGTGGGAGGGCCGGGGACCCTGGGACAATGACAACAGGTGAGCAGTGGATGTGCGGTGGTTGGAATCTTGAAAGTGGGTGTCACAGGTCTCGCAGTACTGGGGAGATGGAGAGGGAGACCTGCAGAGAAAGAAGAAAAAGGGTTAAGGGCAGCAGAAGGGAAAGAGTTAAGGCCTCAGAAGGTGCTGGCAGGGTAGGACAGGAGCCTTCTAGCTTTTCTGCTAAGGAAAAAATTGCCTTCTTCCCCAGTTAACAGTGAGGGGAATAGTTGAAAGAAGAGAAGGTAACCAGGCTTTACAAGCTCTCAGTCAAAGGAGGAATAACAGGCCGGCCGAGGTGGCTCACACCTGTAATCTAGCACTCAGGGAGGCCGAGGCAAGCGGATTGCTCGAGGTCAGGAGTTCAAAACCAGCCTGAGCAAGAGCTAGACCCCGTCTCTACTATAAATAGAAAGAAATTAATTGGCCAACTAAAAATATATATAGAAAAAATTAGCCGGGCATGGTGGCGCATGCCTGTAGTCCTAGCTACTCGGGAGGCTAAGGCAGCAGGATTGCTTGAGCCCAGAAGTTTGAGGTTGCTGTGAGCTAGGCTGATGCCACGGCACTCAATCTAACCTGGGCAACAAGTGAGACTCTGTGTCAAAAAAAAAAAAAGGGAGGAATAACAGTAATGACTATAGCTAACATTTATAGCATTTATGGAGCATACTCTATGACAAGCACTGTTCTAGCATAAACATACATTAACCTAATGAATCCTAACAGCCCTATGAGAAAGTTGTTCTTATTACCATTCCTTTTTTTTTTTTTTAATTTTTATTGATTTATTTTGAGACAGAGTCTCACTCTGTTGCCCTGAGTAGAGTGCCCTGACATCAGCCTAGTTCACAGCAACCTCAAACTCCTGGGCTCAAGTGATCCTCCCGTCTTGGCCTCCCGGAGCGTTAGGATTACAGGTGTGCACTACAACACCCAGCCTATTACCCCCATTTCTAAGATGAGGAAACTGGGACATGTAGACAAATTTTTGCCCAAGTACAATCAGGATTTAAACCCTATCAGGCTACACTGGAGGATGAAGAGAGAACCCTTCAGCTCTGTTCTGGGACCTCTGGCATGGAGTGGCTAGGAAGGGCAGACTATACTGAAAGAGGTATGAGCTAAAGTTTCTCCTCACCAATTCTCTGGGCTCCTTGTCTCTCCATGGCTTTCCCTGACCATTTGGGCCACCTCAGGGAAGCCAGCTTCTTCAGCCAGCTGAGCAGCATCCTTGCCACCAACCTCACAGACCCCTACCCAGGCAGCCCCACGGCCCAGGAGATAGCTCACAGCTGCTCCCTGGCCTGCTCGGGCAGCACACATCAGTGGCGTCCACCAGAAGGCATCTCGAGCGTTGATATTCCCCCCAGCTCCCCCTGCATCATGGGGCTCCAAAAGTCTTCGAAGTTCTGCCAGGTCCCCCTCCTGGGCTGCCCTCAGTATGCACTGGGTCATCCTATCCTCAGCCTCAAGGGATCTTCTGTGTCCACGTCTTCTCGATGTTCCTGCTGCCACTGTTTCTGCCGCAGCCTCCCTCATCATTCTTCTTTTCTTCCTTTTTCTTTCCGTGGCAGGTTCAGGTTCAGGCTGAGATCTCCAGGGCTCAGGGGCACTGCTCTCATCCCCAATCAGAGCCTCATAGAAAGCTCGGGCTGCAGCCCCATCCAGGGTGGGCTCTGGCTCCTCAGGCTGTGGCTGCTGTTGCCCATCCTTCCAGAGGTCACTAGGGTCGGTGGCTGGGGTGAAGCTGATGAGGGAGGGTCTAGACATGGCTTTTGGGAGAACTGAGAAAGTGAAACTAGGCAAGAGGAGGATGAGACAAGAAAGCCAAATCCCTTATGACCCCTGCAGTGACCAAAGCCGCCTCTAGGAACCTGTTGGGATGAGGAAAAGCAGTCTTAGAGTCAAAAACACCCTCCCACCTCCAAAGTGACCCCACAACCTAGGACCTTGCACAGCCCAAGGGCCAGAAGTCATGTGTAAAAACACAGAACCCTACAATAACCGACCCTGCCCCTTAGTAAAAGTTATTAAAGAAAACTCCATGAGATAGTTGTTCAGAGGTCCCACAATCCGCCCCATCCCCACCAACAATAAATAATACCAGCCTCTCTCTGAAACCACTTTCCTACCCCATAAGACATACAATTAATTAGCCAGGCATGGTGGCGCATGCCTGTAGTCCCAGCTACTCGGGTGGCTGAGGCAGGAGGATGGCTTAAGCCCAGGAGTTTGAGGTTGCTGTGAGCTTGGCTGACGCCACAGCACTCAGTCTAGCCTGGGCAACAAAGTGTGACTCTGTCTCAAAAAAAAAAAAGACATACATTAAGAAAAATCAGCCTGGCCCTTTAAATCTTCCTTGATCCCATTTCGGGGTTTTCTCTTTCCAAACAGACAGGACACTTCTCCGAAATCGGAGAAAAGCTCCCGGTTACATTGCTTTTTAGCTTCCGCACGGTAAAATGACGCTTTTCCATTCAAGAGAGTTGACACATTCAAACAGACTGATGGCATGAAGACACATGCATGGCAACAACAAAAAACCCGGGCCAGGCACGGTGGCTCACGCCTGTAATCCTAGCACTCTGGGAGGCCAAGGTGGGCGGATTGCTTGAGGTCAGGAGTTGGAAACCAGCCTGAGCAAGAGTGAGACCCCGTCTCTACTATAAATAGAAAGAAATTAATTGGCCAACTAATATATATATAGAAAAAATTAGCCGGGCATGGTGGTGCATGCCTGTAGTCCCAGCTACTTGGGAGGCTGAGGCAGGAGGATCACTTGAGCCCAGGAGTTGGAGGTTGCTGTGAGCTAGGCTGACGCCATGGCACTCACTCTAGCCTGGGAAACAAAGTGAGACTCTGTCTCAAAAAAATAAAAATAACCCACCACCCACGTTATTTGAGCGCCATGCTCACAGCACCCAGTTCGGTTTCCCGCCCTGGAACCTTTCCAATAGCACAGGCGCAAGCACCACGTGACCAGGCGGCGCGAGCACCAGGAAGGGTCTGTCGGTTGGGGTCCTACTTTTACATAACGCCCCCACAATGCTCTTCGCCTTCCTCAACGTGGCCCCGCTCCAAATTCATTTTCTGGAGCCGGGAAACCACTCTCTGGGTTAAGAAAGGCCCTCAGGAGGAGGAAGGAAACCTGTGGAATGCCGAGAAGCTCTGAAATGAAATAACAGCACGCTGCCCCTCACCATTACCCTGACCAGGGTTCGAAGGTTACACTTAGAGCCTAAAAGGAAATGGAGAAGTGCAAAGGGACGAGCAGCAGAATGGCTGGCGCCACCTCAGGTTAGCGCACTGGGCCGTTCCGACTCTCGCACGGCGTAGCTCAGCTCAGGCCAGCACATCCAATCCAAGTCTCAGCACGGAGCCCAGCCTCACCTCCCACCTGAGGCGGCCGGGGCCGGGGCGAAACATGTGCTGCGTCGCGGTCTCCGGTGGCGGGCCTGACTCGGATCAGGGGCTCGACAGACGATAAGGACCCAGCGGACTGGCCGGGAATGGGGTCAGACCCTGGGCAGCCGTGCTGCGCTGGAACTAGAGGGGAACGGTGTGAGGGAAGGTACAGGGAGAGCTCCCTCCCAGATCGCTCCTTTCCCCGCCCCCCGGCCCCTAGGTCCAGTGAGCACTTTGCTGTATTTCCCAGGCTCCCTGGCCTCGAGCACTGAACTTGGTTTCCGCTTCCGGTGGCGCCTCGCTGCGCCCGATCCCAGGCGCCTTTCTCCGAGGCCTCGCGACACCAGGGTCATGCGCGGGTCATCCTGGGATTCGTAGTTTGCTTGTCCGTCATTTCACCAGTTTCTGTTCCTATCAGGGACTCCATATCCCAGCGTTCACCGCGGCGCCCGACCCTTGGCGCTTGCGTGTTGCGCTCTTCCCCCGCCCTCTCCAATTTCCACTCCTCCCAACCCACTTCGCCTGCCTCGGTCGGGTCCGCGGCCTGCGCTCTAGCGGTCGCAGCTGTTCCTTGAAGTAGCAACTCCCCTCCCCCACCCCAGTCCCGGTCCCTGTCCAGCCAGTGAGTCTGAGGTCGTCGCCGCGCCGAGTTCCTTGTCGCTAAGCGCGGCGCATGGGGTCTTCGTGCTTTGATGTGGGGGCGGGGGAGGAAGCGACCTGGTCGGGCACCAGAGAGGGAGGGGTGGCCTGAGGGGCGGAGGCAGGATGTGGAGAATCCTGTGAAAGGTACCTGACGGCTACCTTCAGGCCTTGAGAAAAGGAGGGGCCCAGCTCTTGCTTGGGAATGGTAAACTTCGAAACCCTTGGAAAACGTTCCGGGGACATGCAGAGCCTGCAGTTGTAGGGATCCTGAGCCGAGGGCCCTGCCGGAGTTGACACAGGGGTGAGGGGCCTGGCCTTCAGAAACGCCAGGGATGTGGGTAGGACTGCCAGATGGCAGGGTTAGGACTTGGGCCTGGCGCAAGTGTTGAGACTCCAAAGAATTTCTAACTTCAGAGAAAAGGGGCTGAAGTGTAAATAAGAGGAGCTGGAGAGGGGTGCTTTAGAGGCTGGGATCCTTTAAGAAAGGGTGGCCCCAAATTCTTCCATGATTGGAGGGTAGTGTGGGAGGAGGGAGGATACCAGAGGCAGGGAGGGAAAGCTTGGGCTTTACTTACACTGTTTTTTTTCCTAGCTGACGTGAAGATGAGCAGCTCAGAGGAGGTGTCCTGGATTTCCTGGTTCTGTGGGCTCCGTGGCAATGAATTCTTCTGTGAAGTGAGTTCTCTTCAACCTCCCTACTTACCAACCCCACATATTCTCCAACCAGATGTTCCCTTACATATTCATCTTCTACACAGTTTTCTTATATGCTACGTGGAAACTCCTTCCTGTCAAGGAAGGGTTCCCTCAGTAACCCTCCACTAACCTGTGATGAAGCAGCAATACTGGGGCCCAAATCCCAGCCTTCCCACCCTCCAGCAACACTGGACTAGTCAGTTTGTGTCTTCTTTTTATTACTAGAGTGGCACTGGCACCTATTTCAGGTGTCTGTTAGGAGAATTGAAATACCACATTATTAAGATGTTTTGTGATGTGCAAAACAAACCTGTGTTTTTGTTTGTTTGAGACAGAGCCTTTCTCTGTTGCCCAGTTCACAGCAACCTCCAACTCCTAAACTCAAGTTATCATCCTGCCTTAGCCTCCCAAGTAGCTGGAGGTACACACCACCATGCCTGGCTAATTTTTCTATTTTTAGTAGAGATGGGGTTTAGCTCTTGCTCAGGTTGGTCTTAATCTCCTGACCTTAAGCAATCCTTCTGCCTCAGCCTCCCAGAATGCTAGGATTATAGGCATGAGCCACTGAGCCTGGCCAAAGCTGTGTGTTAATGTGAGGGATTCTAACTGCTTTCAAAAACCAAGCTGTTGAGCTTCTGCCTTCCTTAAAGAGCCAGCTATCCCTGTAGAGAGTACAAAACTGGTTCCTAGAGATGGGGGGCAGGAGGAGGAACAGGGATCTTGGAAAGAGTATTTTTCTCAAGATTGCTGTATCTGCTTATCTGTAGAAAAGCCAAAGCACTTATGGGAGGGAGTATAGATGAACCAATGAGAGAGACTAAATCACTCCTGCTGAGTTGGGAGTGGGAAACCAGGGAAACAGATGCAGTTGTGTCGAGGACAAGGCATCAGTTAGAGCATCTTGTTCAAAAGCTGGGGGTTTCTATATGGGTTCCTTTTTGACTTCCATGTCCTGACAGGTGGATGAAGACTACATCCAGGACAAATTTAATCTCACTGGACTCAACGAGCAGGTGCCTCACTATCGACAAGCTTTAGACATGATCTTGGACCTGGAGCCTGGTAAGACATTCAAACGTCTATTCACTTGCTTCTTGAATTTTTAAGTTTCCTTTGCTTCTCTGTCTACCTTAACCTAAAATCCCATGGTTTCTTTTGATCCCCCACCTGACTCCCGTCTAGCTTTGTGACTTACATGATTTGTTCCATACTTTCTTTTTCTTTTTTTTCTTTTCTTTTTTTTTTTTGAGACAGAATCTCACTCTGTTGCCCAGGCTAGAGTACCATGGCATCAGCCTAGCTCACAGCAACGTCAAACTCCTGGGCTCAAGCAATCCTTCTGCCTCAGTCTTCTAAGTAGCTTGGGACTACAGGCATGCGCCACCATGCCTGGCTAATTTTTTCTATATATTTTCAGTTGGCTAATTCATTTCTTTCTATTTTTAGTAGAGACAGGGTCTCACTCTTGCTCAGGTTGGTCTCAGACTCCTGACCTTGAGTGATCCTCCCACCTTGGCCTCCCAGAGTACTAGGATTACAGGCGTGAGCCACCGTGCCCAGCCTTGTTCCATACTTTCTGAATCTGTAATTCAGCTGTGTTCTACAATGCCAGTTTTCTCTTGGGCCTCGTTTACTGTCTCTTTCTCCTGCCTTGCACCTTCCACTCTAGAGCTCTACCTTCTGCATTGACATCTTTGCATTTACGTGTTGGGAGGGAGAGGAGAGAGCAGAGGCTGAAGAGGTGTCGAGAAAAGGCAGAGCTGCCTTGGGTTGATGGAACAGTCAGAGGCCCAAGTTCCTGGGTCACATGCCCAGATGATAGATGGGGTGAGGCTCAAAGATGGGTGCTGAGCAAATAGTAGTTGCAGCCCCCAGGGGTGGGCAGGGCACATAGGAAAGCTGAAAAACAAGTGGTTGCATTTGGATGGGCCATGTTTCAGATGAAGAGCTTGAAGACAACCCCAACCAGAGTGACCTGATTGAGCAGGCAGCCGAGATGCTTTATGGATTGATCCATGCCCGCTACATCCTCACCAACCGGGGAATCGCCCAGATGGTAAAGCCTCTTTGCCCTCACTCCTCTTGAGAAGAGGGGAGGAACCCCAGACTCTGGGCCTGGGAATTGAATCCCAATTGGGGTCATCTTGAAGGGGGTATTTTCAGGGAGAGAGATGTGACCTTGGACAGGGAGTTGTTATAGACTGCCTCTTCCTCAAGGAACAAATAGTGAATGGCACTAATGGTCTGTAGCCTGCCCAACTGGAGGAAAGGCAACAGAGGAGTCTGAGGGCCCATTTGGGCCAAGGAAGGGGCCACTGAACAGAGGTGGCAGAAGGTAGGGTACAGAGTGACATGGGTTGGGCTACAGAGGGAGTTGTCTCTTCTCTTCACACCTACCTGCCAACTGCTTTTTTTTATTCACCTCAGTTGGAAAAGTACCAGCAAGGAGACTTTGGCTACTGTCCGCGTGTGTACTGTGAGAACCAGCCAATGCTCCCCATCGGTGAGTGTTGAAGGGAGAGGACGGCACTGTGTGGCTGTCTTCTGGAAAGTAGTTGGGGCCTGAGTCCTGGAGGGAGGTTGGGTGGGGTTGGGGAGTGCCTGGCCTGCTGAGTCTGGCTGTCTCCCAGGCCTTTCGGACATCCCTGGCGAGGCCATGGTGAAGCTCTACTGCCCCAAGTGCATGGATGTGTACACACCCAAGTCATCGAGGCACCACCACACAGATGGCGCCTACTTCGGCACTGGTTTCCCTCACATGCTCTTCATGGTGCATCCCGAGTACCGACCCAAGCGACCTGCCAACCAGTTTGTGCCCAGGTGGGGAGCAAGGACAGTTAATTAAGGGTCAAAGGAAAGGTGCAAGATTCCCCTAGAGAGAAAGGAGGACAGAGCATGGCCCTTTCTTGAAGCTTGCTTTTCTCAAAGCTAGGGCATCTTCCTTCTGAGTAACTGTAGGAAAAGTTATTTGATTGTGTTTTGGTTTTCTCATAAAATGATGACAGTACTTGCCTGACAAAGTGTCTTCAGATGTGTGGATTACTTAGAATAATGTTTGGCACTTGAAGCACCATTTAAGTAATAGTCCTTATTGTCATCATCTTGGGACCCTCAGAGCTGCAGGTTAAGCATCGTTCATCTCTCTAGAACATCGTTTTATCCTGGTGTGGGGTAGAAAGGTTTGGTTTTATATTGAAACAAATACTGATGCATATCTCCAGGTATTACCGGATGGTTAAGATAAATTTCCAGGCCGGGCGCGGTGGCTCACGCCTGTAATCCTAGCACTCTGGGAGGCCGAGGCGGGCGGATCGCTCGAGGTCAGGAGTTCAAAACCAGCCTGAGCAAGAGTGAGACCCCTTCTCTACTAGAAATAGAAAGAAATTAATTAGCCAACTAATATATATAGAAAAAAAAAATTAACCGGGCATGTGGCGCATGCCTGTAGTCCCAGCTACTCAGGAGTCTGAGGCAGCAGGATCGCTTAAGCCCCGGAGTGTGAGGTTGCTGTGAGCTAGGCTGACGCCATGGCACTCACTCTAGCCTGGGCAACAAAGCGAGATTCTGCCTCAAAAAAAAAAAAGATAAGTTTCCAAATATTCTTGAGCTAAAAAGTTGGAAACCACTGCCCTTAAGTTTTGAGCAGGCCCATGGAGGAGCTGGGTGGGATGGTGGGAATGCAGGCCACTGGTGGGGCCTGGGTAGGGCTCACGCTGCTGCCTCTGTCCCTGCCCAGGCTCTACGGTTTCAAGATCCATCCAATGGCCTACCAGCTGCAGCTCCAAGCCGCCAGCAACTTCAAGAGCCCAGTCAAGACGATTCGCTGATTCCCCACTCTACCTGTCCCGCAGTCTTTGACACCTTCTTTCTTTTGCTGCCACCTTTTCAGGAACCTTCTATCATTTTTAGTTTAAATTAAAGGAGTCATTATTGTGGTGGGAATATGAAATAAAGTGGAAGAAAAGGCCATGAGCTAGTCTGCTTGCTGCTGCTTGTGGTTGGGGAAGGGAAGGCGGTGGTGTGCTGGACCCCAGGGGCCCTCATGACCCAGCCCACCCTCCCCACTTTGAAAAACAGGACAGATTTGTTTCTGGTGGATTTGGGTGATGTTTTTAGTGTAAAGCAGGCAAAATGCCTACTACTGAGTGTAGGGAAGTGCAAGTTCAGAAGGAAAAGAGAAAAATCAGGATTCACAGACTAGACAAATACTTGTTCTCTTTAAGAATCTATGACTGTTTGTTTATATTATTTTAAGGATCTTAATTAGCAACACTATCTTCTAGTTTTGGTTTTAAGGGGAAAGTAGCCCTAAAGTAAACAACTGTAAGGGGTAGAGAGAGGAAGGACACAGGCCCAGAGGTATCTGTGTGCACCTTGCTGGGGGAGCTGAGATGAGCTCACCTCAGAAGGATGTGGACACTTGGTTCCCTGAGCTTATCCCAGCACAATGGGGACTGGTCCTATTGCTAGGAGAGGACAGCAGATGGTGGCAGAGATAGACACTAATCTATGGACTCTGGGGGAGGAAATAGGTCGTTAGAGGCATGCAGGACAAAGGTAGACAACTGGTAAAACCCAGGTGGTGCACTGATATTAACCCCTGTCTGGGCCATGGCTCCCACACTCAGGAAACAGACCTTGTGGGTGAGGACACACTGTCCCTCCTGCCAAGTTAATAACTTCCTCCCCTAGTCAGGATCCTGTCCCAGGCAGGAATATAGCTCCTGCTCAGGCTGCCTGTCAAAACCACCCTGCAGCTCCGGATTAAGGATCATGGTCATGGGAATGCAGGGTTTCAGGGTATCCCTCAGGAACTGCTCTTCTCACCAGAATTACATAACAGAAGCCTGTGTGCTTGTAGGTGTGCTGGTCATGGTGGGCTTCACATTGGGAAAGGGTAAGTAAGTGGGGCCCAGGGGCAGGGTGGAAGGGGATTCTAGGAAGGGGGTGGATGGAGGTAGGCCCTCCGGGGTTCCTACAGGGCAGGGGACTTAAGAGTGAGCCAGTGCTCCCATTCCTCTGCCTCCCCAGTTCCTGCTCCTGAAGTCCGGACCTGTCACTTCTGCCTCTTAGAAGACCCTGCTGTTGGATGCATTTCAGGCTCGGAGAAGTGCACCATTAGCAGTTCCTCCCCATGCATGGTGATTTCCATCTATTATGGTGAGTCAAGTCCCAGGCAGGGCCTGCTGGTGGGGCAGCCTATGACTGATCTTTCACCGATGAGGGCTCTTTGGGGCCTGCAGTACAAGAAGAAAGAAGGATCTTGGAGGAAGGGTTTGGGTTTCTGGGAAGCCAGCTGAGCTCATTTTTCTAGCCTCTTCTGAAGGAGTCTGAGGTAGAAATCAGGTCTGGGTGAGGGATGAGAGTCAGGGTGAGGGATGAGAGTCAGTGGTAGGGGTGCCAGGTTTGGGGACTTCGGGAGGCTATTGACAGGGCTATTACTTGTCCCCTCTTCTTCAGATATCAAGGTTCGCTTCACCATCCGAGGCTGTGGACAGCACAATTCCTACCGCTGCCAAGAAAAACGTAACACCTACTTCTCAGAGTACTGGTATCAGGCCCAGTGCTGCCAGTACGATTACTGCAACTCCTGGTCCAGCCCCCAGCTCCAAAGCTTCCTGCCTGGGCCCTCTGACAAGTCTCTGACCTTGCCTCTGTCTGACTCCCAGATCCAACGGTTCTACCAGGCCCTCAACCTCTCACTGCCCCTCCCCAGCTTCCATGCTGGGAAGGAGCCTGAAGACCTGGATCCCCTGGCCACCCTGCCCCTGAACTTGGGCTTGTCCATTGCTGCCCTGCGCCACATGTACTTGTTCCTCAACAGTTCAGGACTTTTGGTTCTTCCCCAGGCTGGACTCTGACACCTTACTCTTTCCAGATTGCACTCTATTCTAGCATCTCTCCCTAACACCCCAGCATCCTGCACTTCCCTTTCTGAGAACACCCACATTCTTAGGTCACCATGATTGCTTAGGCCTCCCTCCTCTGTGCTCCAGCATCTCTATGGCTTTGGTTTAATTTCCTTCCCTGAACCCTGGTGCTGTTCCTCCTAGAAAAGAATCTCAAGTGTGGATTCTCCTCTGGTCTCCTGCCACATCTGTTTAGATCTACCTCTTAAGATCTGGTACCAGACTGAACTTGCAGCAAGAAAGATGAGGAGTAGACTTTTCTGCATATTTCCTGAGTTGGCAGCCTGGTGTCCCTGCCTCACTGTCTCTACCATCTCCTCCCCTGGCCTGGTCTCCTGCGTGTGTCCTCTCTTATGACAGTCTCTGGCCTCAGCCCCACCCATTTCACCTCACTGCATCCTGACACCCACCTCCATAGGGGTCTGGTGAGAGGAGACGGGAGGGGGTCTGTCCTGCTCTGCTCCACATCCCCTGTTTTCCTCCACAATAAACTGGGACTGGGCTAAATCTGTGTCACATTGATTATGGAGTCAGGCCCAGGCGTGGAGAGGTATAACAGGTATAAACAGGTTAATTGGGTGTGGGATTCAAACAGGATTGCAGAACACTGCCCACTCCATTTGGCTTTGTGCCTTCCTCTCAGCCTGCCCCAAAGGGCCCACATCCTTCCCCACCTCTGCTTAGCTAGAGATCAAAGCATGAGGACTGACTTCTCCCAACCGGAAACATACAGTATAAAACCTAGAAAGTTAAACCCTGCTGATACCAAGTTTTTTCACCTAAGAGAAAAAAAAAACCTTTCTTTTTAAATCAGAAAGACCCAGGAGCCAAGACCTGCATCCCAGAGTCACCTGGTACTGAGGGACCTGGTCTGCTGGTCCCTAGTTCTCAAGGACCCTGGCACCCAGGATTCCCTGGACGTGAGGGTCCATGTTGAGGGGCAGAGGGCACAGATGGGGCTGCAATATTTGGATCTTCATTTTAATGTTTTACTTTTAAAAAATTGCAATTGTATAGCAATGCTGGATACAACTCATCCTTTCCCATACATTCAGTAAGCACTAGACACATACTCAGCCAGGCCCAGTGCTGAGCACCAGGACTACCGAATGAGTGCAACCAAGTGTCTGCCCTTCTGAGTCTTGCAGCCCATTGCTGGGGTTAGAAACCTGTTTCTGGAAAGCAGTGGAACTTTGTGGCTGGGGGGCCAATCCCAGCTCCTTTGTCCCTTGGGTAAGTCAATCTCTCTCAGCCTCACTTTAGTCACCTGTCAAGTAGGGATAGCACCTCATAAAGAGAGAATGCATGTCAGTGTGTATACACAGATGAAGTTACAGCCTTTTCCCTCCTTAAAACATGTTTTGTTTTTGTTTTGAGACAGAGTCTCGCTCTGTTGCCCGGGCTAGAGTGCTGTGGCATCAGCCTAGCTCACAGCAACCTCAAACTCCTGAGCTCAAGCAATCCTCCTGCCTCAGCCTCCTGAGTAGCGGGGACTACAGGCATGTGCCACCATGCCTGGCTAAATTTTTCAATATATTTTTAGTTGCCCAATTAATTTATTTCTATTTTTAGTAGAGTCGGGGTCTCACTCTTGCTCAGGCTGGTTTCGAACTCCCAACTGACCTGGAAAGCGATCTGTCCGCCTCAGCCTCCCAGAGTGCTAGGATTACAGGCGTGAGCCACCATGCCCGGCCAAAAATACACATTTCTTAGAGTCAAATGCACACACAATTTTTGGCCTCTTTATTTGTAGAGACTGGGTCTAGCTGTGTTGTCCTGGCTGGCCATGAACTCTCAGCCTCAAGCAATCCTCCAGCCTCAGTCTCCCACCTGCTTGGGAGTACAGATGCGTGCTGCTGCACCCAGCTAGGCTATCTATTTTCAAATCTTTTTGGTAAAACATTCAGGAACTTGCACATATCATGAAATGGACTTTTGTAAACTACACACCTGTGTCATCAGCATCCGAAGCTACCCTCTTGCCCCTCCCCAGGCACTCCTCTCAACTCTCAGGATAGCCACTGTCCTGACTTGGAGCAGCTCAGATGAGTTTTGTCTGTGTGCTTGATGGAAATGGCATCGCACGGCATATACCCCTACCTACACAACATTTTGCGCACATAATATAACATCTCCGTGGCCTGTATTCTGACAGAAGACACCAAACCACGTTAAGTTTTAGGTCATGAGGCAGTTGGAGGTTTAAAGAGTTACAAACCCTCAATGTTCCCCCTCACTTTGTTAGATCCACCTTTCCCCATGACCTGTGATAAACAAGACAGAGAAAGGCCCAAGTTTACACAGGTCTAGCAGGTCACACCAAAAGACAGCCTTAGAGGTTTAGGAATGTGGCCTAAAATTGAGTGACTTGCCAAGGTGCTTGAAGAGGGAAGGTGAGCCCAGGAATCAGACCACCACGTCTAACGTCTCCTCCAGAGTGGCCTTTTGCCCACCCCTTCCTCCCTGGGCCTGGGCCTTCTGCAGCCCCTCCCACCAACACACCCCTCTGGACCTCCAGCCCCTGCACAGCTTTGGTCCCACAGCACTTTGGAGGATGCCCACTCACCTGGCCTTCACCATTGCAGGGTTTCCACTTCCTCTTCACCTTTTTGTTTCTAGAGCTGAGTCAAATGCCAAGGCAGGGCAGAAGGAGGGCTCAGCAGAGCTGGGAGCCCTTTCCTGCCCCTGTGATGGGGCAGTCAGGCCCACTTCCCTCAGCCTCCACCTCCACCAGAAGAGAGAGACAAACCAGGCTGCACACCAGTTTATTTTGGAGGAATACCTGGGGACTTGGGGAAAAAGAGGGAGCCTGGGTAGGGGCAAGGGGGGACAGAATGGGAATCGGGGTGTTGAAGGGTGTCAAACAAGAGAAAGAGAGGTAAGACTGGGGTCCAGTGACGGAGGCAGAGAGGGCTCATATAAGGGACTGGAAGTTGTCCTGGCTGAGCCCAGGTAGAAGTCAAGACAGTGCCAGAAATGTGGAATTTTACCCCAAGTTCTCTGCAGTTGTTCTAAGGAGTATAGAGTGCTCTGTTTTGAGGGTCATTGCAGAAATCCAGGAAGCAGCATTGAGAGAATATCCAGAAGCCAAACACTGGAGACGTGCGGGTGTATGAACAATCACTCATCTGCTCCTTGCTGCGGCAGTCACTCACCATGACATCAGAACCGCTGCCTATGGGGGCCACAGGCACCAGTGACATGGAGGTCCCAGGGCAGAGCCCCAAACCCTCTCCTCCCCGCACTCCCCACAGCCTGCCCCAGACTAGGCTAATAAAAAGGACTAGGACTAATAAAAAGAAAAATAAAAGATTCCTAGAATTGGGTAGGGGTGGGGAGTGCAGTGCCCAGTGAGTCACCAGCCATAGAACTCTGCAGAAGTTCCAAGGGGAAGGCTGGAGGGACAGAACCATCAAATGTCCATGGTTGGAGGGGGAGTTAAGACATACAGACCCAAATGGGGAAAAACAGCACTGTGGGACCATGCAAGAAAAAATTGAGGAAATATTTTGAAGGTTGGATGCATAAAGGAGATGTTTGTCATTTATTTTCTAGACCAAAAGTAAAAGAATAATATATCTGCTGCTATTATATATATTAGAGGAGGGAAAAAATCTTTGTGCCCATGTCCCAAGAAGTTATGTAGAGGGATGCTCACGGCTGCCCTGTTTGAGAGAGTAAAAAATTAGAAGTGGCCAGGCGCGGTGGCTCACACCTATAATCCTAACACTCTGGGAGGCCGAGGTGGGTGGATTGCTTAAGGTCAGGAGTTCGAAACCAGCCTGAGCGAGACCCCGTCTCTACCAAAAATAGAAAGAAATTAATTGACCAACTAAAAACATATATACAAAAAATTAGCCGGGCATGGTGGCTCATGCCTGTAGTCCCAGCTACTTGGGAGGCTGAGGCAGTAGGATCGCTGAGCCCAGAAGATTGAGGTTGCTGTGAGCCAGGCTGACACCACGGCACTCACTCTAGCCTGGGCAACAAAGTGAGACTCTGTCAAAAAAAAAAAAAAAAAAAAATTAGAAGTAACCTAAATGCCTGGTAATAGCAGGATGAAGAAGTCAGCTCTGACAGGCCCTTGCCGTGCCCCACCATGCAGCAGGCCAACAGGACAAGGATGCTTCTTACAAACAGACATGGAAACATTAGTCCCCTAAATGCTAAGTTTCAAAAGCAAGCATAACAGTGTTCACAGTGGTATGCTGTTTGGGGGTGGGGGAAGATGTGAAAAAGAGTAAACAGTATATTTGCATAGGGTGGAGTGTGCAAAAATGATTGCAGGAAGTATAGTCCAGAAAATAAAAAGAGTAGTTGCTTATATGCACATGGGAGCCAGGTGAATTGTGGCAGGAGTGGAAAGAAGACTTTGCTTTGATACTTTTGTATTGTATACTTTGTTTTTTGTTTGTTTGTTTGTTTGTTTGTTTTTGGTGGGCTAGAGTACCCTGGCATCAGCCTAGCTCACAGCAATCTCAAACTCCTGGGCTCAAACGATCCTCCTGCCTCAGCCTCCCGAGTAGCTTGGGACTACAGGGATTGCCACCCTAACCAGCTAATTTTTTCTATGTATTTTTAGTTAGCCAATTAATTTCTTTCTACTTTCAGTACAGACGGGGTCTCGCTCTTGCTCAGGCTGGTTTCAAACTCCTGACCTTGAATGATCCTCCCACCTTGGCCTCTCAGAGTGCTAGGATTACAGGGGTGAGCCACTGTGCCCAGCTAGTATTGTATACTTTGATATTTTAACCATGCCTACACATCAGCTATTTAAAAAGTCTAACAAAAGGATCTGAATGAAGACAGCTTCATGCAGTAGTTGTTGAGAGCACCATCTCTGGAGCCACCCCCAAGTCTAGCTCCGCTTCTGTGAACCTCGGGCAAGACCTTTCTGCACCTCTGTTTCCTCATTTGTCAAATGAAGGTAATAATAATGCTTGCCTCAGAGGACTTCAAGTATTTAGAACAATGCCTGGCACGTATTGTGTTATGTTTTTGTTAACTTTAAAATGGCAGGCGATCGGGTGGAAGAGCAGGTATGAGGAAGGAGGAAATGAAGTCAATTTTTGGCAAGTTGAAAATGAGACAGTTGAAATTGTCCAGTGGGCGATTTGACCTGAGGAGAGTGGTTGGTGTAACATTCAGATTCAGGAGGAAGCAGTATGTGGCTGCTGGCTGAAGCCAAGGAAGCAGATAAAATCCTCTGGAGAGAGTGTATGATGTGGGAAGACAGCTCAGGACCAAACCTTGGTGACTGTGAGCCACTAAAGGAACAGGGAGAATAAAGCAAGAGTCAGTAGAAGAGACTGAAGACACAGCACAAGATGCAGGACAGTGACACCAGCAGGAACTGCGCTGACAGATGGGGGCGCAGGCAGCTTGAGGACAGGCCAGGGTGTCTGCAGATATCAAGGGTCCCCTCACTATGAGAGGGTGGAAGCCAGTCAGCTATGAGCTGAGGAGGGAAGAGGATAGAAGTGGAGACAGGCTCTGAAGCAAAGGAAAGAGAGACAGGGATGGAATAGTGTCTTAGGGTTGTGGGAACAAGACTTGGGGTGCAGCCTGGGAGGCTGGGAGAGGTTCAGTTCAGGAGAGGGCCAGGCGCATGGCAGGAGAAGGCAGCTTACTGTTTTTTATGTGGAGAGTGATGCAGCTGCTGCCAGCTGGTGTGAGGCAGATGTCAGATCCCAGAAGGCACCCCAACTCCTTGGTCTCCAAGAGGCATCGGTAGCAGCGCAGGTATTTGGGGAACTGATGTGGTTGAGGGGGTTCCTGATTGACAGGAACAAGCTTACCTAGAATACAGAGAAGCGCTGACCCCACCCCCACCTGATTCCAGGCTGCTCAACGCCACTGTTCCCTCCGGACCTCCCCAACTCAAAAAACCATAAAGTCACCAATTCTTCAAAGCCAGGTCATCGGAAGCTTTGGTCCTCATTAAAATCTCCCTTCTCGGCTGGGCGTGGTGGCTCATGCCTGTAATCCTAGCACTCTGGGAGGCCGAGACGGGCCAATTGCTCGAGGTAAGGAGTTCAAAACCAGCCTGAGCAAGAGTGAGACCCCATCTCTACTATAAATAGAAAGAAATTAATTGGCCAACTAATATATAGAAAAAATTAGCCAGGCATGGTGGCACATGCCTGTAGTCCCAGCCACTCTGGAGGCTGAGGCAGTAGGATTGCTTGAGCCCAGGAGTTTGAGGTTGCTGTGAGCTAGGCTGATGCCATGGCACTCACTCTAGCCTGGGCAACAAAGCAAGACTCTGTCTCAAAAAAAAAAAAAAAAAAAAATCTCCCTTCTCTGCTCTTATATCACCAGAGATGAGGAACTCATTAATTAATTCACTCGTTCATTCTTTCAACAAGTATTTGAGGGGCTAACACGTGCCCAGCACTCTGCAAGCCTCTAAATTCAAAGGTTAGGCTGAGGCAGCCCATTCCAGCCCTGGGCAGCCCTGTTAGGGCAATCCCACACTCTCCTGGACTCCTTTTTGAACATGCTTTCTTAATCTATAATATTCAAAAGTAAAAACAAGAGTGCATCACAGGACTATAAGAGTCTCTGTTTCATGTAGACAGGAGACTTCAAGCAGCCAGGGGCTGCATTCTTTGATTTTGGTGGTCCTATGACTGGAAAGACTCATATTAAACTTAGTCCACCAAAGCACCCATTCTCCTCTTCCCTCACCAAATGCATGCATATACATCTCCCTCTTCCTCTGGCCCTAGGCCCAGACCACATATTAATGAATCCTCAGACTCAGCAGAGCACTTGGTGAGAGCCAGAGGCAAATTCTCAACAAACACTTTGAATCCTATTTCTCTGTAGATGGTGCTTTGTAGCCAAGTGAGGAGGATACCAAGCTGGATTCAGTGTTGTTCCACCCTGTGGATTCTGGTTCAGTCATCTGGCATGCTCCCCGACCCTCCTTATTCTGTTGCCCTCAGATTTGGAGACGATCCCTTCAGTATCTCCATTGAGGTCACTGCTGTGGAGTGAGATAGGCCTGGGGTGGTCACTAGAAATCTTCCTCAGGGTCCATTAGTAGTCTCCATTTTCCCACTAAACCTACCCATCCCATCTTTCCACCTGCCTGGGTTTACCTGAGTGTCTTGGGCAGATGTACCCAAACGTTTGGTGTCTATGGGTTTCTCCATCCAGCAGGCCAGGAGACACTTCTGACCCCTTGGAACCACTTACCAAACACCAAGCTCATCCCGACCAGCACTATTACGAGGACCGCGTACAGGGCTTGGAGGGTTCTGTGGGGGCCCAGGGGCTCCAGATTGTGGCTCCCTGCAGGGCCTGCCATACAACACATGACTGCCCACTGGCCTCTAGTTTGGGCTTATATTGGTGAAAGGGAGGTTGGCCAAGAGGAAGAGGAGAGGCAACACCAGTTCAGGGTGAAAATCAGTGCCAGAGCAGCCAGAGGGACAGAGTGTCCTCACCCACAACCATTCTAGGGTATACATCCGGGCCTGGGGGGCACCCAGCAAAGGACAACGAGAGGGGGACATTTCTTTCATGGTCATTCGACAGACATTTATTCAATCCCCGCATCAGGTGTTGGGAACACAATAGTGCACACAGTCCCTGCACAGAGCACAGTCTAGTGGGGACGGCAAGTGGACAATGACTGGGGGCAGAGTACTGGCAGGAGCACCTGACAGTGGAAACCACTGGCCAGAGGGGTTTCAGCACAGGAATAACATGATCAGGTTTGTTTGTGAAAGGTTACTGTGCTGCACGCTGGAGAATCAAAGGGTTGGGAGTGGAGGCCGGGAGATGGGAAGCTGCCCCTGAGCGGGTCACAGGTGGCGGCCAGACCTAGCGGGAGAGGCGAGGCCGCGGCGGCGGGCGCTGGTCTGACGTGTCCGAAGACAGGCTACACAGGTTTGGGGTTGGGCTGAACTCCGAGTGAGGGAAGGGGGTCAGGCACCATTTTCCAAGGTGGAAAGATGTGGTACTGTCAGACATCCAAAAGCGAGGACACCCGAATCCCAGCGACCCGCACCCGGCGGGTGCCCGTTGTGGCTCCGGAAACCGGCGCCCTCCCCGCCCCCACCCCGCTCGCGCGCGCCCACGCGGCGGCGAGCCGGCGGGCGCCGCGCGTTCGCTCTCCGCGCCTGACCGCTCCTCACAGCGCCGAGGACGCGGGGGCGGCGGCCGCCCTGCTCCGCTGCTCTCGCGCGGGAAACCCGGGAAGCGCGAGCGGCGCGACCCGCCCTCAGCTTCGGGCCCCGCGGACGCCCGCAGGTGGCGCTGCAGTGCCGCCGTCGCGCCGGGCGGACTCGGAGCCCTCGCCGCTGGCGCCCCGCCAGTCCCCGCGCCCGGCCCGCCGGGCTTCCCCGCCTCGCCTGCTCCGTCCCCACCTCGCCAGGTCAGTGGCAGGATCCGACAGACTCAGAGTTTTTACTTTTAGAGTCGCTGGACGATGGGAGGTCCTCGGCATCCAGGAACGACGCCACCTGTTCCAATTTCCAGTCTGAAGGTTCGGGGCGCGGCCCTGAAGTCGGGCTCCCTGCTGCCGCCCAGACTGTCCCAGAATCGTCGGGTCTTGTGCAGTTTGAGGAGAGAGAAGACGAGAAGAAACGGACGAGAGGCCGGGCGAGGTGGCTACGCCTGTAATCCTAGCACTCTGGGAGGCCGAGGTGGGCGGATCGCTCGAGGTCAGGAGTTCGAAACCAGCCTAAGCAAGAGCGAGACCCTGTCTCTACTATAAATAGAAATAAATGAATTGGCCAACTAATATATAGAGAAAAAATTAGCCGGGCATAGTGGCGCATGCCTGTAGTCCCAGCTACTCGGGAGACTGAGGCAGGAGGATCACTTGAACCCAGGAGTTTGAGGTTGCTGTGAGCTAGGCTGAGGCCACGGCACTCACTCTAGCCTGGGCAACAAAGCGAGACTCTGTCTCAAAAAAAAAAAGGAAGGAAGGAAAGAAAGAAAGGAAAGGAAGGAAGGAAGGAAGGGAAAGAAGAGAAAGAAGAGAAAGAAAGAAAGAAAGAAAGAAAGAAAGAAAGAAAGAAAGAAAGAAAGAAAGAAAGAAAGAAAGAAAGAAAGAAAGAAAGAAAAGAAAGAAGAAAAGAAAGAAAAGAAAGAGAAAGAAACGGACGGGAGACGCCCGCCAAGGAAGACATCGGGAAGGAAGAAACACGAGAGGAGAACGCACGCCATGGGGCGCCCCCAAGGCCCTGTGAATGACTGAAACTTTAAAATTGCACTAGAGAAAAGTAGAGTAACGGAGACCGGGGAGGAGCGCCTGGCAGCTGCGTAAGTGTCTGCTGAATGAGTGACTGCACAGCGATAGAGAGCGAAGGAAAAGCAGAGGCGACCTTACGGCGCACTCTGAACCCCTCGCTCGGATATAACCGCGACTGAGAGGCTGGGTACTGGGGCTAGGCGAGAGGGGGTCCCGGAGCGGGTCACCCTGGTCACCCTGGGAGGCCCGGGAGCACTTGCTGGGCCCGAGAGCAGCCGGGAGGGAAGACGCCCGCAGCACCGCGGGCGGGGCGGGGCCTTCTTGGAGGGGGCGTGGTCTCCAAGTCTCAAATTAATCCCGCCCTTGCTTCGTTTCGCTCCGCCCCTGGCCTCGCGGCGGGGCAAGGCCAGAGCGGGAGAAGACGCTGAGAATTCGTTTCCATGGTGACAGGTTCAGCGGTGGCTTAACTGGGGTGAAGATGCGGGGCGTTGCAGCAGTCGCGATGGTGAGGGCAGCGTATGGCGGTATCTCTGCTGAGTGCCCCTCCCTCGGGACACTGGCTACCTGGGGCTAAGCCCCCGAGTGACGAAACAAAGGAGGTAGGGCCTGAGGAGCGAACACCAAGTTAGGGGAATGGGCGAGGCAAGCGGGGGCCAAGGTCTGCGGGGGCAACCGCCAGAGACTGGGGGCTGGAGAGGAACCAGACGAGGGTCTTAATCCGAATATAACTGAATGACAAGGTTCGTGAGGGCGCCGGGCGGCTTGTTGATTGGATGGGTGGATGGGGGATCTGGCTATCCCTGACACCTGGGCCCCCACCCTCCTGGGCCCTCCACGCCCCGCTGCCCCATGCTCTGGTGCCCACTCCCACTTGTGACAGCAGTGTGGGAAACACATGCCCCTCCCAGGGGCGTGCAGCAAACCCTCAACCCAAAGAAGCAGCCCTGAGCCTGGCGGAGCTCCTCACACTGGGAGCAGCGCAGGGCGGAGCCTGGGTCAATGAGGTAGGGTAGGATAAGGCCTGGGCCAGCCTGGGACCACCTCTTCTTCCCAGGTTTCCCAGCCAGGGGTCTACTAGCCTCTACAGAACATGCAGGAAAATGGAGTCCTTCCTCTCCAGGTTGTAAGAGGTAGCACTGGGTGCCCCCTATTTGCATTTAAGGAGTTTCCTTTACTTAAACAAAAACTTGGTTTCCAGGGAATTAACTGTCCTGTTGGATCTGGGAGGTTGAGGTTCAGAACCACATGGGTGGTCCCAGAGCTTTGGGTCCCACACTTCCCACCCTGTTTGGCCCCTGGAATGTGACAGAGGAGAGAGACACTGCTAATCTGCTCTCCACCTGCTGTTGGCTAAATGTGGAGCGTTCTGGAGCTGTGGTCACCTCCCCTCTTCTAACCCCAAATTTTAGATATCTTATTGTCGTGGCCCGTTTGCAGTACGGTGGATGAACACAGAACATAAAACACAAACACAGAACACAAAGAAAAACCCAGACACACGTACAAACGGTTGACTTGAGTCATAATACACCGGCTCAGTTTTATTTTTAAACTCTAAAAGATTAAAGTTAGTTCCTTGTAGTAACTGCTGAGGCTTGGCTAGGATAGCCATAAATTCCAGAATGGGTAGCCTTAGGGAAGCAGATATCCCCTGACTCAGAATTTCAAGGTGGTTGCTCTAGGCACTAGGCATAGATAAAGGACTGAGATTAGCAAGGATGGGCATGGTGAGCCACAGGGGGCATTTCTCATCCCCAGTTTCTCTTAGGGTGACCCCCTAAGATCTTCGGCTGAACCCTGGCGGCTGTGCCTGGCTTAGGTCGCCCCTCCCTTGAGGAGTCTCACCCGTCATTGACTAACCAGCCATCTTATGGGGTGTTTAGCGTGTGGCCTCCAGATCCCCAATGCCGTGGGGTGGGGCTGCTCTTGCTACTCCCAGCTCAGGTCCTTTGTTATGCCTCTAGGCAACGCCTTTGTTTATCACTGGGAGCCTGTCCCCAACACAGTACTTTCAAATGCTCTGGGCAGAACACGTACATTACTCACTAACTTTAATTCTTAAACTAGGAAAATATATGTCAGTCCCCTACATCTTATCACCTGGTAAGTCTCAAGTCTCCCCTTCCTTTGGAGACTCAGTATGACTTCCCTTAAGGAGCTGATGGGGGCAGACCCAGCCTCTGTCCCTGAGATTATAGGGGAGCTTCAAGCATTGAGGTTGGAGGAAGCCAGAAATTAGCCAAAGACTGTACCTAGGACATTAGAACATTGTCAACCAAGTTAAGCATCTTGTTTAAAACGATGGGTCCAGGGTGGTAAATAAGCCTTTCATCTGAAAAAGAGAAGTTTTCAAAGGAAGAAGGTGGCCAAACAACACACTGATGGGAGGAAGGGGGATTCATTCTGTTCTATAAGATCCAAGTTATGGGGAACCAATTTCCTCAGGTTTCAACCTAAGCATTTTTTTTTTTTTTTTTGAGACACAGTCTCACTTTGTTGCCCAGGCTAGAGTGAGTGCCATGGTGTCAGCCTAGCTCACAGCAACCTCAATCTCCTGGGCTCAAGCAATCCTACTGCCTCAGCCTCCCGAGTAGCTGGGACTACAGGTATGCACCACCATGCCCAGCTAAGTTTTTCTATATATTTTAGTTGTCCAATTAATTTCTTTCTATTTATGGTAGAGATGGGGTCTCGCTCTTGCTCAGGCTGACCTCGAGCAATCCACCTGCCTCAGCCTCCCAGAGTGCCAGGATTACAGGCTTGAGCCACCGTGCCCCGCCCAACCTAAGCATTTTCTTCTTCTTTTTTTTTTTCTGCCTGCAGACCCAAAGTTACATGCATTTTCTTCTAACAGAGCTGTCCAAAAGGCAATGTATGGCTCTGGGAGGACATGAATCCTTGGCACCTGGCCCTTAGTCCCTGGCAGGCCCTGCATTTGCTGAATTACAAAAAGGCTGTGAGGGCCAGGCGTGGTGCCTCACGCCTGTAATCCTAGCACTCTGGGAGACCCAGGCGGGTGGATTGCTCAAGGTCAGGAGTTCAAGACCAGCCTGAGCAAGAGCAAGACCCCATCTCTACTATAAATAGAAAGAAATTAATTGCCTAACTAAAAAAATATATACGTATATAAAAAATTAGCCGGGCATGGTGGTGCATGCCTGTAGTCCCAGCTACTCGGGAGGCTGAGGCAGGAGGATGGCTTGAGCCCAGGAGTTTGAGGTTGCTGTGAGCTAAGCTGATGCCACGGCACTCTAGCCCAGGCAATAGAAGTGAGACTGTCTCAAAAGGCTTTGAGGAGAGACTTGATGGCATGCCGAGGAGGGTGTGCAGGGTTTGCTGCGTGGGACATGGGGAGCAGGCCTTTCCCCTTGGGGACAACAGGAACTGAGCAAAGGAAACGGGGTGCTGATGGTGACACCATGCGGGTTAGACCTGGAAATCAGATACTAGAAAGTACTTTGTAAACAACAAATCTCAAGAGGGGGCAAGCATGGCTTTGGGGCAGTTGTATGCAGGAAGCACTGAGGAAGGAGGGCTGGGGAGGCTGCCCAGCAGTGATGATGATACTAGGCACGCCAGGGAAGGGTTGAGGTTTGGGGACTCACTGCATGAGGACAGTTCAGATTGGGGGCTGAAGGCTGGGGGGACCCAGAGATAGGGTTAAACTGGCTATCTGGAGTTGGGGTTTCCCAAAGTCCAGCCCTTTGAGGCCTCTGCTCTCCCCACTACCAGCCCCTGGCTCCCTGGACACGTGGGAAGTCACACAATTAGCCAGATAGTAGAAAAAATATCTTTTTATTAATGATTAGGAATAATCCATTCATTTAATGCAGGGTATGCATCAGAGAAGGAAGTGGTTGCCACATAGATGAGGGGAACGTGCAAGGGGAACAGTGGTGAGAAGGGGCACGGGTCCCCCACTTTCCACAAACTATAAACAGCAACATGAACACAGAGAATCACAAAGAGGGTCTTTCTCATGTCTCCTCTCATCCCATTCTTCCAGAATGAGTCTTAGTATGGTCCCTAGAGGTGCCACGGCATCTGGAAGTTCTGGGCTGGGAGTGGGGTGCAGTGTGTGGCCTCAAAGTTGTGCAGATGCTTCCGAGCCTGAGGAAAGGAGGGGACAGGACAGGTAGGTGCAGGGCACTGTAGGGAGCAGCAGCCTCTGGACCCCCTCTCAACCCCCCTCAGAACCCACCACCTACTTTACAAAAGCTGCCACTTCCAATGTCCCCAATCCCCCTAGTGAGCCCTGGCCAGACACCCTTCCCTGTTTCCCACTCCTTCGCTCACCAGAAACAAAGCCAGCTGCCGCCGTCCATCTGCACTCATGTCCTCGCCTGCAGAGAGGAGGTGCTCAAATGCAGGCCATGCATCTGGGTTTTCATCCCCTTCCCAGGCTCCTCCTGTTACCTCTCCTGTCCCAGGACCTCCTTACCCACACTCCAGGGGAAGTCAGGCCCATGTTCTGCCTGGTAGGAGCGTAGGACGGACAGGCACCAGTCCTCATCCACCTCCCATTGGCTGTAAACTGAGGCTGGTCAGGGAGAGAAAGGAGGGCCTGTCAGCACCTGGCCTTGCCAGGCCCCACCCTAAAGCCTCACCGGATCCCCTGACCTTCCTCCAGCTGTGAGGTGGCCTCCAACCACTGCTTCACCACCCGGAGACCCTCCTCTGCCATCACACGTGGGTACCTACAGAGGGAGTGCCAGGACAGGAGGTCAGGACTGAATTCTCTTCACTCCTCATCCCTGAACTTTCCTCCCTCCTTCGTTGTGCTGGCATCAGTACTATGTGTGTACCTGTGCCCCAGCACACACGCCCTGGCTCTCACCGATGCTGCAGGAGCTTCAGCAGAAGGTCGTTGCCTCGGTTGGACATGATGTCCTCAGGAACCCTGGGGGTAAGAAGAATGTGCCCTGCGGGGTAAGGCTGGAGGCTGGGGCGGAAGGGTATGGATGCTGGGTTCCTGGTGGGTAGAGGTGGAGGGGCAAGTCCCTAACCATCTCAGAGATGTGGGAAGTCCCAGGCACTCACGTGGTGGTGATGATCTCATCCTTGGTTCTCCGGATCAGCAACACAGGGCCCCGGTACCTTCAGAGGACAGAGCAGTGAGGGAGAGAAGTGACAACTGGCCCACCCCCATCCCTGCATTGGTAGCATTCTTACCCCTACAACAGCAGAGCCCTGTGGGCTAGCCCTTTACCCAGAAGTAAGAGTCAGAATATTTAAGAATGGGCATTGCTCAGGAGACCCCTGCTGTGCCAGGTACTAACCCTTTGGTTGCCAGATCATGAGGAGGTCCAGAGTCTTAGGGAACCTGGGAAGGGTTAGGCTAGGTGGGGTGGTAACAGGGTCACTCAGGGAATGGGGGACAGTGGCCATATCCCAGCTTGCACTCTCGTGCTATACTAGTTTCCACATATGAACACCCAGCAGAGCTGGGGGTGGGTAGGAGATGCCAGACACTGGCTGCCCTCACCTGCACAGCTGCTCTGCGTTGTTTAGATTGAGATGCTGCCTCACAGTCCTGGTCACCAGCCCCCCTAGAGTGGGATAAAGCTGAAGGAACAGCAGAGACAAAGCCCTTGCCCAACATAAAGGTCCCCACTGTTCACAGAGAGAGAAAACAGAGGCCCCCAGAGGAGTTCTCCTGGTTTTCAACCATGGGGTGACCTATTCCCACCCACAGAAAAGGGAACCACCTCCAGTCAGAAAACTCCCAGTTCCAACCCAGCCCTTCCCTCGAAGAGGAGGCCTGGGAGCTACACTTACTCCAGCTGTCCGGCATGACCTTCAAGGCCAGGGGAACCAGGTCATCAAAGGAGGCATCCAGGATCACAGCACTAACGTCTGGGTAGGACATGGCTGCCCATGTGGCTGGTACCAGGACGGGGAAGTAGGATGAGCGCTATAATAGGCTCCTCCCCCACGCCCCTCCCCTTATCTCACTGACACTACAGGCTAACCCTATCCACCTACTGTGGGGTTTTTTGTTTTGTTTTATTTCCCCGAGACAGGGTCTTGCTCTGTTGCCAGGGCTAGAGTGCAGTGGTGTCAATATAGCTCACTGCAACTTCAAACTCTTGGGCTCAAGGGATGATCCTGCCTCAGCCGCCCAGGAAGCTGAGACTACAGGCATTGTGCCTGGCTACTTTTTCTATTTTTGTAGAGATGGAGTCTTGCTCTTGCTCAGGCTGGTCTAGAATTCCTGAGCTCAAGCTATCTTCCCGCCTCGGCCTCCCAGAGTGCTAGGATTATAGACAGGCATGAACCACTGGACCTGGCCGACTATAGGGTTTTTTTTGAGATGGGGACTCACTATGATGCCCAGGCTAGTCTCAACTACTCTTTGCCTCAAGCAGTCCCTCTACTATGTTATCCCTGGTGTCTCCTTAACCTCCATTTCACTTGGCCAAGGCCCTCTCTGGAGAGGCTGGAGAAAGAACACTGAAGTGGACTGAAGACAGCCGGCAGAGGAGACATTCACTCTCCCTGACCTCCACACCGCAAGAGCAGGGTTAGTGTTCATTTTAATGATGGGGCGCTGGGTAGAAGGAGAGGTGAGGAGTATAAATAGGATATACTTCTAGGCCTACTCAGAGATTCTACTTCCTCCCTATTCTTAAGCCTCCACCCCACTCTGGGGCCACCAGCGAATTTCCCCACCTTTGCGGGGCAGGCATGAATGTGTCTACAGTGGGCGGTGGGAGGGAAGCTAGTACCAGTGAAGCCACCGATGGACCAGGCATAGATGATAATGTCCTGGGGCTGGAAGCCCAGACGGTGGATGGCAAACTGGATGACCACATCCATAGCATTGGCCTCATTCTGCGGGAACGGCACCCCCTGCAGGACGAAGGGCAAAGGCAGGAGTGGGTCAGTACCAAAAGCCTGGCTTGACTGCCACATGCACCCTCCCAGGGGACTCTTCCTGCAGCCACATGGAACAGAGATGGTATAGAAGGGTGGCGGGAGGGCGCTGTTGTCTCCTGCAGACAGATATTTACAATGAGATCTACCTCCTCTCCTCCCACCAACCCCCACTATAAGGGAGGGGGTGTGGCAGCCCAGAGCCCAGGCCACAGGTGAGTGGGAGGCTCCCAGAGAAATGTCTATACCTTACTTCCTCCCTCTAGTGGCTGACCAGAGAGAGACCGAAATAATTCAGGAAAAGGAGGGAATTCCTGAAAATCTCACCGTGCTTCCAGCAAAGCCTGGATGATTCCAGCCCAGGACTGAATACCCAGCTGTAATAAAGGGGGAGGAGGGACTGAGAACTCTCTCCAGCCCTGGGGGAAGGAACAGCAGAAGCCCCTCAACCTCAGCTCAGAGGCAAACAACTCCAAGCCTTCCCAGAATAGGGAGATGACACCAAAGGCTGTGAGGCAGAAGGGAGAGCTGTGTGGCTGTGTGGGGGTGTGTGTGGAGGGGGAATGGAGAGTCTACCTAATAACCACGGGCATGGTGCAGGACAGGGATGTAAGGTGATCAAAGCAAAGGGGCAGTGGACCTTTCCCAAAGGCGAAAGACTCAAACCTCACCCAGGGAAAGTGGAGGCTGGGAGAGGCCAGATCAGTGTAGGAGCTGTGGACATTTTGTTCCAAGGGGTGGAGATAAGAGGGCTGGTCCCTACCTTCCAGGGGTGTGGAGACACAGCCCACCTCATAGAACCCTGCATTCCCCTCGCAGCAGATCACCTGGGAAGAAGGCAGGAAAGAAAGGCTGAGAGGGAGCCAAGTTGGGACTGAAAGCCCCCTCTGGGCAGGGACGACAACCTGTGGAGAGCTTGGAGAGCTTGACAGGCAAGGGGAAAGGGCAGCCTGTTGTTCTCTCCAAGGAGAATGGAAACCTCGCATTCCACATGGTCTGTAAGATGAGAGGCAAAAGTGGCTGCAAATGCTCAGCAAACTGGGCCCTGGGAGGAAGATGACTGAATTGCTCAACCACCAGCAGCACAGTGTCCACTTCTCCTTGGAAGACCACCAGGTGGGCATCTCTGAGTAATGGGACTATGGATATTTTTTTCCCTTTATAGTTTTTAGGTCTGCTTTTTCTTTAACTATTTCTGTGGTGTGGTACGCTGACTGCTTCCCTCTCCCTCCCTGGGCCCGTCTCATGGTCACATGAGTTCTAATTCCAGCTTGCCCCAAGCGGCAGCCACAGATGGTGGAACTTGCATGAACTCTCACAGCAGATGGGCAGAACTAGGATCAGAACCCAGCTCCCTAGATTCCTGGCTTAGTGCTCTTTCCAGGGCTGCTGCAAGGAGGCAGATTTTGGAACCAGGCTGCCTGGCTCTACCACTTACTGTGTGATCTGGGAAAGTTTTTCTGTGCCTCAGTTTCATCACTTGTGAAATGGGCTAATATAAATAGTACCTATCTCTCACGACTGTTGTGAGGATTAAATGTATGCCTTGCATGTGGTAAGTGTCATCTAAGTGGTAACTACTATGATTATTATGTTTTGGTCCTTGAATGTCAACTGCTATTTCTCTGTCTATTTCCCTATTGCGGGGGGGGGCGGGGTTCCTATATCAGGTCTTAAGGGTGGAGCTGGGAGATGGGATTATCCCCAGCTGTGGTTCTGTAGGGAAGATGCTATAAGACTGGGGGCCCAGAACCTCTACTGCCTTCCCCACAATCCACTTTTGGGCTCCTTGCCCCCTCTCACCAGCTTCTGTCCCTGGGGCTCAGCTGTCCCCCGCCGGTCCACAAACATGGTGTCAATCTCGTTGCCATCACAGGCCAGCAGCTTTGCTCGGCGCCCATTACACTGAGTGGAGGAGGCGTAATGGCCAGGTTGGGAGGGGCAGGAGGCCATATCCTGGGCAGGGAGAAGGGCTGGCAGGTGGGGCAGGGGAGCTCACCTCTTCCACCAATCGGGCCTGGCCCTGCAGCAGTACAGGCATGAGGGCCTTCTGGAGCAGGTACACAGAGCCCGGATACAGCATCCGGCGCCCCAGGGTGTGTGCCACCAGGTAGCTGTGGGGAACACAGATTAACAAACCCCTAACCTCAGTGGGGACCAGGATTGTGCCCCAGTCCTGGCAGAGTCTGAGGCCTGCTTCACCCTTCGCTGTCTCAGCTTCACTATCCTCTTCCAGGACTTAACTAAATAATATATGTACCAGGCTAGTATTTTTCAAACTTTTTGTTACTGCAGATTTTGTAAGATAAATATTTTATATTGTAGCCCAACACATACATATATATATAATTCCGAGAGTTTTATAACACTTTCTACATATAAATAAGTAAAAGCAAACTTATTACCAAATATGATTCTGTTAATATATAAATATAATGTTTTAAAGTCCCTAAATAAATAATACTTTAAAAAATGATGGTTGTAGGCTGGGGGCGGTGACTCACGCCTGTAATCCTAGTACTCTGGGAGGCCGAGGCAATCGGATCGCTCAAGGTCAGGAGTTCAAAACCAGCCTGAGCAAGAATGGGATCCCCTCTCTACTAAAAATAGAAAGAGATTAATTGGCCAACTAAAAATACATAGAAAAAATTAGCCGGGCATGGTGGCACATGCCTGTAGTCCCAACTACTTGGGAGGCTGAGGCAGTAGGATTGCTTGAGCCCAGGAGTTTGAGGTTGCTGTGAGGTGGACTGATGCCACAGCACTCTATATGGAGCAACAAAAAAAAAAAAAAAAAAAAAATGCCAGGTGCAGTGACTCACAACTGTAATCCTAGCACTCTGGGAGGCCAAGGCGGGCAGATTGCTCAAGGTCAGGAGTTCGAAACCAGCCTGAGCAAGAGCGACACCCCGTCTCTACTATAAATAGAAAGAAATTAATTGGGCAACTAATATATATAGAAAAAATTAGCTGGGCATGGTGGCACATGCCTGTAGTCCCAGCTACTTGGGAGGCTGAGGCAGGAGGATCACTTGAGCCCAGGAGTTTGAAGTTGTTGTGAGCTAGGCTGACGCCACAGCACTCTAGCCCAGGCAACAGACGGAGATTCTGTCTCAAAAAAGAAAAAAAAAACATTGGAAGCAAATATCATAAAACATAAGCATTTTAGTTCTTTTTGATAATTTATTCTCATTTATTTATTTATTTTAGCATATCATGGGGGTAAAATGTTTAGGTTATGTGTGTTGCCTCCCCCCCCCCGTTCTCTTTTATATATTTTTTTCTAAATTAAAAATAAAAAAATTAAGACAAAACTGAGTAATGGGAGCTACATTTGGATGGGTAGTCAGGGGAGGCCTCTCTGAGAATGGAGCCCAGCCCCGCAGAGAACAAGGGCAGAGCACCTCAGACAGGAGGCCCACATCCAAATGGGCCCAACTGTTGCCATTCAGCCACCATCCAGCTCCAATTCCATCGCGTCCTTCTCTAAGCATCCCCTCACTTGGTTGTCATCATATGCACCTACCACAGGTCAATGATTTGTTGTCCCTCTATTTTTTCAAATTGTGAGATATACATAAAACATACACTCAGTTTAAAAAATACAAAGCAAACATTTATGTGACTATCACAGGTCAAGAAAGAGAACAGAGCCATTTCCCACCAGGAGTCTCCCCATGCCATACTCCCCCACCCCAGGTAATCACTCTCTGACTTTTTTTTTTTTTTTGACGACAGAGTATTGCTTGATTGCCGGCTAGAGTGCACCAGGTGCCGTAGGCGTCAGCCTAGCTCAACAGCAACCTCAAACTCCTGGCTCACAGCAATCCTGCTGCCCGCAGCCTCACCGAGTAGCTGCGGAAGCTACCAAGGCAAGTGACCACCAATAGTCTGCAGACTAACTTATTTTCCCATATATATATTAGTTGGCCAATTAAATTTCTTCAATACTATTATTAGTAGAGATGGGGTCTTTCTCTTGCTCAGGGCTAGAGTATTCAAAAACTCCTGGACTTGCGCACAATCCGCCTGCTCAGCTTCAATGAACGTGCTAGATTAAAGGATGTGAGTCCACTGTGCCAGCACTCACTCTGTGACTTTAAGACAAATAAACCAAAATGCCCTGTTTTTCAGGTTTACCTCATACATACAAAAATATACATTCCCTTTTAAACGTTTTTTTATTGAGACAAGAGTCCACTTGTTAGCCCAGGCTAGAGTGAAAAAAAGCTGCCAGTGGAAACTTCAGCCTAGCTCACAGAAACCTCAAACTCCTGGGCTCAAGTGATCCTACTGCTCAGCCTCCGAGTAGCTGGACACAGGCATGCGCCACAATAGCAACCGGCTAAATTTTTACTCACATATACTATATTTTAGTTGGTCAATTAAATATCTTACCTATTTAAGTAGATGATGGAAGGTCTGCTCAGGCTGGTTTTGAACTCCTGACCCCAAGCATCTGGCCCACCTCCACGCTCCCCAGAAATGCTAGGATTACAGAGCATGAGCTACCTCGCCTGGCCCCACTTTTAAACAAACCTTTATGTAAAGTGAAATAACGCAGAAATCATATTGATGGTACAAACTCTCTTCCCTATATAAAACAACTATATTATGTTAGAATTCAGCTAAACACTGGGTGAGTGTAATCACAATAAATTTTGTTCACTTTGCATTGCACATTGTACAACGTGTATCTTTGACATCATGCACAATATAAAAACACATCAACATTACTTTACTCGACCCCATATAATTCATGGCCATTGGAAGTTGTTTCCAGTATTAGGGATATACTTATTCACTAACTCATTGTAGTATCATATCAAAATATTACTTGCATACCAAGTATATACTATGTTCATAAAAATACAATGTGCAAAGGACATTTTTCTCTTGTGTGTGCGCACAAGAAATGTAATATATAACCAAAATATATATAACTAAATATATACCTAATATAGGAGTGGAATTGTTACAAAACTATACTATGAATCATCTTTCAAGAAATAATAGCAAAAAACCTTTTTGTTAATTATTTTTTCAATAACTTTATGATCAAAACCTTTTTATTTTTTTTTAGAAGAACAGAAAGTCTACACTTTGCTTGCACAGGCTAGAATGAGTCCCATGGCATCAAAGCTAGCTCCACAAAGGCAACCTTAAACTCCTGGGTCAGCCAATCCTCACTGCTCAGCCTCCAAGTAGCTGGGACTACAGCATGCGCCACCACAAATGCCGGCTAAATTTTTTTAATGTTAAATTTAGATTTAGCAATTAATTTGGATTTCAACCATATTTATAGTAGAGACGGGGTCTCGCTCCTTGCTCAGGCTGGATTTCGAATTCCTGACTCTACGGAACTCACTCGCCTCAGCTCCCAGAGTGCTTAGAATTACAGGTGTGAGCCAACCAACACACGGCTATGATCCAAACCTTTAAGGAAAAGAATACATCGTCTTAGACCATTTTCTATTATTTCCCTACAGGGCCCAGACCAAATTCCAACTATATTTCACATAACGGTCACTTAACCTAATTTACTCAAGTGACAAGGAACGGATAGACTCAAATAGCTCTCCCCTTTCCACCTTACCTCGGAGGCAGGCACACAACTGCACATACAAGCAGCAATGTCCAGCATAGTGAAGAAACGAGCACCACTTTGGACAAAACTCAGGTACCTGGTACGGGCAGAGGATGACATGGAGATGCTTCTCCCGTGATGCCCCATAGCTCTCCAGTTACAGCCCAGACTCACCCAAAACACCCTCTCTTTGAATAGCCCACACTTAGAGGGAAGAAACAATGCCCTGAATGGAACGGAGGAAAGCGGAAGCCATCCACACTCACAGGGTCCCTTTACCATCTTTAGGGAGCTGGCTCAATCTGCCAAACAAAAACCTGCCCATTTCCTGCCACACCACCTTGAAACCACACTGACATTCTCTATACAAAAGTAGAAAGAAGGCGAAGGAAAGAGGAAAGCTAATAAGAAGATGGCAGAAAGACGCAGCCTGCAAGCAGAGAGACAAGGAGACAGCAAATCAACATACAACAACACATAAACCGCGCAGTGTGCAACTGCACACTGCTCTAAGCCATTTCCAAGACCTAGCCTGGCACCAGTGTGGATACCTTTAGGCGAATAATCCACCTATTGAAGAGTACTCATATATTGTGTGACCCAAATATGACATCAGCAATCACACAGTAGGTTCTCAATATTTGTGAACCAATAGTGTGTAGAGAGCATATAACAGAAGCTGGGGAAAACTAGGTAAAAGGTTCTACTTCTCTTCCTCTAACCATTCCGACATAGTCTAATCACATTTAAAGGCAGTTGTCTCTGTACTACTCAAGCTTAATCAAGCCTTTTCAAATGCACTTGCTCAGACAGCCCTGGGTGGTACCCCAAGAGATGCGCAAAACGACACCATAGGAACCCTGCCCAGAGAAACAGCTGTCTCTGCAGCCAAAGAGGTTAGTTTCCAGGGAGACAGTTCACTGGGGAGCTATAGGACTTAGACCGCAGATGGTCCCAAGAGTAAATGTTTTCCCTAATGGTTCAGGGTACCCAAGAGAAAATGCTAAAACCAAACAGAGTGCCAAGTATGCATACTTGAACATGGTCTCGTGTGTGGGTATGCTGTTGGGAGGACTGCTGAGAACCAGAGATCCCCCACCACAGAGGCACTGCTGCTCAGGGTTTTAGGGGGGAGAACGGGGGGGAGGTTCAGATTTTTTACAAGAGGGAAGCTGGTTCTGATAGATGCAGTGCAGATACTCGATCGCAAGGTAGACAAACAAATCACAGCTGCCAGGATGCTGTCAGAATGTTTCTCCAGGGCACGGGGCTGATTAGTACGTATCCTGCAAAAGATGCCTCATTAGGACCCTTTCAGCAAGGGACAGGATCCCCCCCATCTTCCATTCAGAAGAATAAATGATGTGCCTGCATCTTGGTTCTAGACCTCCTGGGACATCCCTCCCCCACAGAAGCCACCTCCTCCCTCACCTCACCATCAATTTCCCAACCCAGACCATGGAACAAAACCACAGGGACAAACTGAGATATTGAAACGCAAAAATTGAGAAAGCAGCATTCGGACAC